CAGAAACTGCATACAGGTCTTCCTCAATAGCATTTACTCCATGCTGGGGCATAGGAGCAGTCACAACGTTGGGCCTCTCGGGCGCCTCAAACTGTATTTCCTTGGCATCGATAAGGTCCTGAACCTTATTTCTTAGGGCCCAGCAATCATCAGTAGAATGCCCCGGGCTATCGGATTGATAAGCACAGCGGGCGTTGGGATTATACTTCGGAGAGGTTGTGTTTACCACCTTCGGAGCTTCTCTGACGGTTACCAAGTTGGTCGATAGCAGCTGTGGCAAGATCTGCGACAAGGTCATACTAAGCCGAGTATATTCTCTTTTGGGTCTCTCACCCCTTGGTTGGTTAGGTTGCCGAGGAGCGGCAGCAGGCTTTGCAATCACCACCGCGTTGACAGCTTGGCGGCGTTCTGGTTTGTTTTGCCTCCTGGGGCCATACACAGCACTGGCTTCCTTCTTGAAAGGCTTCTTCTCAGAACTTGAGGACGCACCTTTCTGTATCTTCCCTGATTTCATCCCAGCTTCTATCCTCTCCCCAGTCAGAATGAGGTCTGTAAACCCTGCAGACGAATTACCAATGAGATGATTGAAGAACGGTCCGGATAGGGTCCCCAAGAACATGTCCACAAGTTCACGGTCGGTTAACGGCGGCTGCACCCTGCCATCCAGGTCCCTCCATTTCTGCGCGTACTCTTTAAAACCTTCTCCCGATCCTAGCGACATACCCTGGAGTTGGGTACGTGTAGGAGCGAGGTCGGCATTATACTGATACTGCTTATAAAAAGCAGTAGCCAAGTCCTCCCAGTTACGAACCTTGGTTCCATCCAGCTGATAGAACCATTTGAGATGAGTCCCTGAAAGACTCTCCTGGAAGAAATGGATCCATAAGTTCTTGTCCACAGTGTATGGTTGGATCTTCCGCACATAAGATATGAGATGTAGCTTAGGGCAGGACGCCCCGTCATACTTTGCGAAAGATGGTGCTTTGAACTTGTGTGGGATCACCACACCAGAAGATAGACCCAGGTCTCCAAAATCCAACCCAGGCACTTGTTGAATTTCCATGGCACTCAGGCGATCCTCTAACTGCTTGTACTTGTCTTCAGCTGGAGGGTACTGCTCTTCATTGAAATCAGTCTCGTTGTCAGAGACCACCTGACTAGGAACCCTTCCCCCTTGGGGACTGCCTTTCCCTACAGAAGAACCAGCTTGATCAACCTCATTTTGCAGTGTGTTACCAAACCTCCGGCCGGTGTTGAATAGTACAGTTCTCTTCTTCTTCTTGACCAGCAGAGCCTTCAATTCCTCTTGACCTTGGGCTAGACTCATGATCAGCTCTTGGAACTGGGCGTTTTGAGCCTGGAGGGCCTTGATGGATTGCTCAGTAGATGATTCAGGATTCATGATGTCTGCCGAAATAAATAGCGAAGAACATTAAGCAACCTGAAAATAAGAGTACCTGTGATGCACATGATGCATGATATGCTGTTTATGCAATTAATTCAAGGGTTCGAAAGTTCAAATTTGTTGCAGACAAAAAGGAACACACGTTATCATTAAGAAATAATTGTTCAGTACATCAAAGCCTCATGGGCAAAAATTACAAAGTAAACTAATCCCAAAAGACACTGCGCATCCTCTTTGGATCTATGTAAGTGTTAAGAGTCTTTTCCTCGTGCAGTAGGCGGGTGAGCTCCAAGACCTTCTTCTCACTAGCATGTAGACTGGCTTCAAGAGAATTTTGTTCTTCCTTAAGCTGGATCCAGCTCTTCTGCATTTCTTCCCAGGATGTAGGCATGTCAGGATGTTGAATGGTGTAGGGCACCTCTCCTTCCAAAACTGGCTCTTTGATCACAGGGAGAACATGAGGATATGGCATCACTAGCTTCTGGGAGAGGGCTCGTACCCACTTGAGATAAGGCTCCAACGGGATGGAGTTCCTGTGCCCCAGTGTCTTGCTGTCTACCTTGTTGGGCATCCTCCAAGCTCTGATAAATCTCTGGAGAAGTCCTTGTGCATCATTGTCGAAGTCAAAAACTATGTCAGGAATTAACATGTCATGAGGGCCATCCCTCCGAGCATATCCAAATTGTCTCAAAGCCAAGCATGGGTTGTAAGTAATACCTCCTCTGATTCCAAGTAAAGGAACATTAGGGTAATCCCCGCAACGATCAATGATAGTGACATCCTCTCTGGACCGAGAGCACCAATGTATATCAGCATGTGTAAGAGTCATCAATCGTTGTGACCATCTCAAACCCCGCTCATTCTTCAAAACTGATTGTGGAAGGTGCGAAATAAACCACCTTCCCAGGAGAGGAGTGCAGCACATAAGAACACATCTTTTTCTCATGGTTCGAGTGTAACATGAGTGAAGGATGTCCCCAAGCAACGTAGGTATCAGATTCCTGGACATGAAGATCTTGACAGCATTAATATCTATAAGCTGATCAGGATTCAGGAACAACACCAATCCATAGACAAGGAGAGCCACAACTTCTTCAAAGGCTTGTAGGTCAAGGGAATTCCAACATTCTTGGGCCTTCTCAAACAGAAACCTGACCAAGAACCCTTTGATACCACTTCTAACTTCCAAATTCAAACTTTTCAAAAATTTAAAAAAATTCAACTTCATTTGGTTATCGAGCCTTGGTTGAGAATAGACACAACTGGCATCATCAGCGAAACTTCAGTTTTAACCTTCAAACCTAGCATTCTTTATGCTAATCAATACCTTGGTTGACAACAGACACAATCGGTAAACTCCGATCTTATATTTGGTTTAGTTATCTGAGATTCGATTACCAAAACACTCTTCAAGTATCTATCCTCTAGGTTGTGGTAGATATGTGAATTTTTAGGATTACGTTATTTATCCTCCAGGTCGTGATAAGTATGCAAGACTATCCCTGTGTCGTTTATCCTCTAGGTCATGATAAACGCATAAAATTTTCAATCATCTATCCCCTAGGTTGTGGTAGGTGTGTGAATTATCGTATTTATGTTATTCATTCTCTAGGTCGTAATGAATACATAAGTCTATTTTTGTGTCGTTTATCCTCTAGGTCGTGATAAACGCACAAACTTTTTCAAATATCTATCTCCTAGGTTGTGATAGGTATGCAAATTTTCAAGGTTATATTATTCATCCTCTAGGCCGTGATGAATACATAAGCCTATCCTTGTGTCATTTATCCTCTAGGTCGTGGTAAGTGCACAGGTTCATCCTCGTATTTACTCTCTAAGTTATAGTAAACATAACGAAATCTGCGGTATGATTCATTGTGTCAGTCTATATGCGGCAATGGATTATCAACTTTATTTTATTCATCCCCTAGGTTTTGATGGATAGACAAAATATGTGTTATAAGCTTACTATGTTAGTTTCGAAGTGTTAGTAAGTCAACTTTCAAATTTGTGTTATTTACCTCCTAGGTTACGGTAAATATATAAAATCTACGATCTTTTTTTTAAGTATTGGCGAGTTGTCTGCGTCATCATATCTAGGTCAATCTCATTTTTTCTCTAACTATGGTAGGATGATACATCATCATCTTTGCCTATTTTTCGTACTCTTGAGAACGATGTACAGTGCGTCCTTATAATCTTTGGTCCAAATTTTGAGATCTTCTATTATTTAATAACACTCTGGTCCGAATGTGGGAAACTTCGTATACTCGCACGCTTCAATCGAAGAGTAATTAAATAGGGGCAACTGTCATACCCCAAATTTGTCCGCCTCATTTTTAAAATATTCAAATTATTTTTAAATTTGATTTCATAAATTTTTTGGGTATTACTCACATTTGGTTTAACAATAATTTATTTTTGCTTATTTAAAAATATATAATAATTTATTTTAAATTATTTATAATTTTAAAATAGCAAAATATTTTTCCACTTCATATGCTTCTATGTGTCTATTTGTCTCAAATAGAATGACATAGCTCAATTGGTAAGAGAGTAGGGCTTGCAAGTGGAAGGTCTTGAGTTCAAATCCGATTAACACTACTTTTTAGTATTTATATTCTTGTGTGTTTTTTAATAAAAAAAATTTAAAAAGAGTCATTTTCAATTATTTTATTTGTTTTTTATTTTAAGAGTATTTTTAAAAAAATATAAATCTTTGATTTTATACACTTAATAGTCATGTTAAAAATAATGAAAATCTTTCAAAATCAATTTTTACTAATCACCAAATCAATCACAATATTGAAAAAAAAATCACAAAAGTGTCTAGGTTCATAATCTTGTCCTCCAAATTTCAATCAAATCCCAATTGATATAAATCTTTCCAAAAAAATCACTTTTTTTATTATTAAATTATTATTTCGTATTTTTTAATTAATAAATTTTCAAAAATAGTTTTTTTTCACTTTTTTTAATTTTTAATTAAAAAATAACCAAAAAATCATATAAAATATAAAAACAACAAAATCACGTGATTTGTTACTTTCTGATTAGTCACATGTTGACAAAACTGATTTCTCATTGATTAGAGTTTATATACTTGCTGACCAAGATAAAATCATAAATTTTGGATTTTTTTGGTACGGACTATTTCCTTTTTGGGGGGTGTCTTTAGCCTAATTTCAAATCTATAAATAGGGCTCTCTTCACCGTAATTTTTCATCATCACTCTGGAAAAAAAAGACTACGAAGTGGGACTCAGATTCCTCATAAAAGGATACGTAGACATACGACTTAAAAATTTTGATGTGAACAAGTTAGATGAAGGTTGGTAGATGAAAAGTATCTAACACTTTCCCTTCTAAAATGAGTCGATCTTTGTATCATTAATTAAGGTTATTTATTATATTTCTGTCTTAGGATAAAAATTAATTGTCGTGACTCTCATTTTAAAATCGGTTACAGACATCCATCAAATGATTGTATTCCTCTTTTGTTAATGAAATGGCCTTTTCATAAATAAAGAAAAAAAAACAATTCAGTAAAATATCCCACTGAAGACATCTCTTGTACTGGCACAATGCTGAAAAATCTATTTAACAAATGATGCTAAGTGTGGGTCTGCACGGTATGGAAGACCACTTCGTGCTCCTAGATCCCTGCATTTCGCACCTGCCTGAAATCCACAGACAGACACAATAAAACCGCTAGGACTGGGACAGTGTCGTAGGGCTTAGATTAGTTTGATTGTGGTTAGAAGTTCGAATGTTGTTGTCATTATACACTAACATATAGCCGTGTAGAATATCTAGCTGAGGGTAGAATATTAACATACCACATTAGCAGCAAAGGGCAGCATTGTCTCTGGTGAGAACTTCGAACAAATAGCTGAAAACAAATCAACAAAGAACATGTATCTTAAGTGATCATTCAATATTAATATATATGGGACACAAAAACCTGTGTGAAAGACAGTTTAGGGGCCTTTTGAAGACCATAGAGAAAAATAGAACAAAGTTGTTGAATTACCATAGATCACAGCTCCAATAAATGCATCGCCAGCACCAGTGGTATCAATAAGCTCTGATGGTGGAATGCTCTCCGCTGTACCAATGTAGAGTTTCCCGGTAACCGTTCCTATTCCTTCTGCCTTCAATTTTGCCACTGACTGGGTGAATGGGAAAAAATGATGACTAATATGTTGATCAAGAACATAGATAAGCATGTTTTATCAAATTTACAATCCCTGTTTCTAGAACTTCAGGTATCCGAGTCAATCGTTATGTCAATATGAATGTCTAGAGAACTTGTATTTCTCTGTAACATAATTGATATTTTAGCTCAGAAAAAATAAAAAATAACATTTAGAAGATATTAGGTCAAACGTTATATTAGTCAAAAAGAAGGTCAAGTGATGTGGTTCAAACTAGTATATATTAAAACAGAGAATGACAGGGCATGCTTAATGCAAGTTATTAAAAATGTCCTTATATGGATGTACTTGTCTGCTTGTAGACCATAAAAATGGCCTTTACCCATCCAAAGATTTCATTGTCTTCCATATCAAGATTGGCAAACAGATGCAGGACTATCAAATGTGGACACTAATATTGGCCTCATGAATGATTAAAGAAAACATACTAATACTTGCTTGAAGAATCATATAGCATTTTATGTGTTAACGCCGCATGCTGTCACTTCATCGTACGAAATTGGCACAAATGGCATATAGCTGGTAAGATAGAGCCTATAGAGCAATTAGCAATGAAACACTAAAGGATTATTCTAAGAATACATTTTCAAGAAAAACCTTGCAAAATAGATCATTCTAAATGGTTTTCACTATAGATTGGATGTTTGAAATAGCCCAACAATGTCAATTGGTCTATGTACAACTACCCACTTAGTGGATTAAAGCTTGGTGTTAGACTTCGCTTCAGTAATACCACAATAGAGAAAAAAGAGTTCTGAGTTTAATTTGCTTTACCGATGATATGCAGGTTGGAACGGATGCACTCTTATCCTTTCTTAACAACAGTGATTCCAATAAGTTGTCTACATCCACGTCTTCCGTGGAAGGACTTGCTGCCAGAAAAGGCTAACTGATTAAAACCTGTTTACATTAAAAGCAGATACAACAGTGATTACGCCAGCAGTCACCTAAACGTACCATTAACACTTCTCTCAAGCATTATACAACCATCTTTTCCCAAAGTTACAGCCACAAATTTTACATTGGGCAGCCTTAAAAGGATAGAAACAAGTGCTTGTGGAACAGTTGATGCCTCTGTCCATGCCTGTAAGCAAATAAAGGTCATATTGTGTGTATTCTATAATGCTTAAAAGGAACTCAACCCCACAGAGCAGAGTGAAAAAAATTCAGTAAAACAAATGGACACATATTTATACAAAATTCCAAACGTTAAAGCAACCTGAAAAGATAAATGATATGTACAATTGGTATCATAAAAGGAATATTTATTTCCCACAAAAAAAAAAAAGAATATAGCTTATAGATAATTGAAATAAACATGTGTACAACTGAACATGTAATTTTGGGGGGACAAATTAGTCTTTTCTTTTGATGCTAAGACACCCAAGACAGCATATATTATTCTCAATAAATAGTACATTTACTGTCTGCATGATAGAACATAAAAGTAGACTGTTTAAATCAATGAAACATTTCTGCATGTGTAAACGAGGTTTGTGAGAGAACCACGGTATTATATATTTTGTACAGACAGCACTTTAATAGAAAAAAATGCAATCACCTTTGGAAACTTTGCTGAGCATACAACATAATCAGCTAATTTCAGGAGATCATCCAACCCTTCCCTTGGTCTTTCTGCATCAATTAAGATGGGTATATTCTTCCTAGCTGCCTGCACTGGAAAAATACAAGATTTTGCTTAGTTCTCTTCGTGAAGCTCCTTTCTCCCTTTCCCAGCCTCCTTTACAAGCAAAAGAAAAGAACTGAAAAGGTGTAAAAGACACCGAGTATGTGTTTGGATTAGATAATAAATTAAAGAAGTGCATTTTACTTTATAATAATTATTCATAAAATACCCTGTTTGGATATTTGATACAAGAGTTTTGAAGATTACATTTCTCGTAATTTGATCATCTTGTCACACGTCTGATAGAGTTTTGATATTTGGATGAGTATTATAATGGACATATAGATGAATGCACAATTATTATTAACACTACCAGATAAACAATTCCCTGCAGAATACGGTTACACAGTGACAGGTTTTACCAACTGTTGTACAGAATAAAGTAACTCCTAAAACTACACAAACCTCTAGGAATTAGAGACTAGAGAGCCTAGTCTCTCCCAAACCATAACCAACATAAAAGACAACTGAATGGCTGTAAATGTCCATTTTATTCTATTTAATATAAGTACACAAATTATATTGTGCCTGCTAACAACTTCTTTATCATTTAAGTCAGCACTATGAATTATCTCACGTTCAACCATTGACATTGGTCGGGTGGTTGGTAGTCATATAATAAAAGAATATTAATTAGCATTAAGCAATATTGGCTATAAAAGTAAATGTTTCTTTAATGAAATCTAGCATGATTTGACTTTTAAATATGACTGGGTCCTAATAGTTAACATCCAAGTTGCAAGTAAAATATATAGGTGGTAACCTCATGGGCAACAACTAGAGCAGTTTCATACAACCTCCCATCAAAATATACAATGCTAGCTCCATCCAATACAGATAACAAACTCGATTCTGAAAGATCTTGGGGTATCATTGGAGGATATCCAGGGGTATGTATACAAGTACGACTTTTCCTGAAAAATTACAGTAGGAACGAGTCAAAGGGCAACCTGGTACTTCAAACCTCCTGACATTGCAGTATTCAAAGAAGTAGACCCATTTCAGATATATTGTAGGAAGCCTTAGTTGCATTTGCAAGAGGCTACTCCACAACTTTAACCAGTAACCTCTTAACTACATTCTAATGCCTCTAACTGTTATGCTAAGGCTCCCTCTCACTTAGAATGATTCAAGTTAGCATTTAAATTTTCAACAGTTTCATTGCCAGAAAATGCTTGAAGATTTTAACATAAATATGTAAAAGCATATCACATACACTAATTTTTGTTTTACTCTTTCTACAAATGAATAATTTATCCTTCCCATTTTGCATCACGTTAGCTACTTTTGGAAACAAGTCTTAGGTTTTGAAGTGTCCAGAGATGATTGACACAATAATAAAACGGAGACAAGGCAAGTTGACAGAATATATATATAGGAGTATAAGTGCAATGCTTGACGCTGGAGTTCATATAATGACAAAAAAAACTACTAATTTATGTTCAAAACCATACAGAGTAACCAGATCCACCTAACTCATGCTCCCCCGTCCCCCAGTTTGAAATTAGATCATGAATATACTAAGCAAAGAAGTTAAGATTTTGTCACCCTATGTAAGACAATGACCATTACGTTTCGTTGTCCACAATAATATATGTAAATGGCGAAATTCCCTCTTTAGATACCTGCAAATAACAAGAAGCGGTAACCAAAAAGAAGTATTAATAAAATAGTTGAGGTCATTGGGAGTCCAGAACCCCACTAGCTGTTTTTACTTCTCATGGAAATAAATTCTTATCCATATAAAGTCTTTAGGAAAATATACTAAAAGTAATTAGTGGGGAGTGTAAACAAGAGTAATGAGATTGCAAGAGCATATAAACAAACAAATAAACATAGTTAGGTGGGAAGTTGGAGAAAGGATAGACCATATGGATCATGTACTTACACCCCAGGATTATAATTTTGCTCATAACTAATAGGCATGGGCAACAAACTCCAAATGTTACCACATACAAAAAAGTAATATTTCAAATTTCAAGCTTCTAGAAGATTACAAATACAATTACAACAACAACAACAACCAAGACTTATTCCACTAAGTGGAATCGGCTACATAGATCAACTTCCGTCATAATGTTCTAACCAGGACCAGGACTATACTTCAACCCAAATTGTTAATCTCGAGATCTTTCTTAATAATTTTTCTCATAGTCTTTCTAGGTCTTCTTCTACCTCTAGTTGTTTGACTCTACTCTCCTTACTACATAATCTACCGGTCTTCTCTCTACATGTCCAAATCACCTAAGTCTATTTTCCACCGTCTTTTCTACTATAAGTGTTACCCCATCACTGTCTCCAAGATTACAAAATACAATTAAAGACGAAAAATGTTAAATTACCACAATAAAGGATGTATCTACGCCATCGACCTGTAGCTCGTCTAACATACCCCTGCCTTGAGTGTCATCTGCAATCTAATGAGCATCATAGAGATTAGTAAAACACAGAGAAACACAGAATGGTTTCAGAATCAATGAACTTAAAGAGATCTTAAATCGAGAAATAAATAACCTTAGAAATGAGCCTTGTGTTTAGACCTAAGCGAGCGAGACAGGTTAAAGCATTGGCTGCATTGCCACCGCCTTGAACCTGAAAATTACAATGCATAAATCAAGTCTTGAAGATTTAAAAAGATTTAGAGTAATAAATGAACAGAATTAGTCAGAAAAAGAAAATGTGAAAGAAGAAAAGGAACCTTGAAAGTGGTGGTTCTGATTTTGTCATCTGGTTTAGGGTAAGCAGCAACGGTAGCCAAGAAATCGACGGTCAACGATCCACAACCAACCTGCATAGGATAGTGCGAGTGTGTGTAAAGAGAAAAGAAAGCGTTGAAATCCGGCGGGAATGGAGAAAAGAGAAAGAGGGAAACGCACAACGGTGACGTTTGGAGGAACGGAGGAGCACATTTTGAGCCGAAAATTTCTGTTGCGATGGTTCCTTGATGGCTGAAATCCAACAAACAAATGAAAAATTAGATTTGCAGGATTTTTAAAGAGAGAAAGAATGAGAAATTGTTATTGTTACGTTGTGGAATTTGAGAGGGTGAAGGTTGAAGTTGAAAGAGGCAGCAGTATAAGAAGAAGTGCAGAGATTGGACATGTTTGAAGCTGCGGATTGTTCTGTTTTGGTTTCAAAGGATGGATGAAAGAGTTGTGATTGGCCACAACTGATCCGTGAAGTGGGTCAACTTTTCATCCACGCCGTGTTCTGTTTTGTTTTTTATAATTTATTTTAATTTAAAATAAAATAATTATGTGTTAAATGTTTTTATGTCATTTTAAATTTATAACTTAGTTGAACCGTTAATTTTACTAAACATTTCAATTAATTCATCTCCTAAGTATCATTCATCAACATTAACTATAAGTTAAAAACTATCAATTATCAGTCCTCAGTCATCAATTACAAATTATAAACTATTAATTAATTTGTCAGTCAACCACTATTTTTATCAAATAAAACTATAATAAAACTTGATATTTTAGGTCGTATTTGTATTTCATGTTTATTATAACTCTACTATCTAAAGTAAGAGTTAGGATAGCACTAATCAGCTACTTATAGCTACAATCACATAGACCCTGTTAAGGGCACATATAACTACATCCAATAGCCTTATATCACGACATGTTGTCTAACATCACAACCTCATAAAAACTTCACAAGCTTGTATAACACGCAAGCTTTAAAAATCTGCATCATTGCAGCAACTATCCATAGACAAGACCTAACCCCACCTGTCATGGATAACCAGATCTCCTGCTGAAGATAACACTTGAGCACATGATAAGAACACATGAAAGTCTTCATACTTTCACAGTGAAGGGAAACCACTTCACACACCTGCATAAACACACCTTTTGAACATCTTCATATACTGTAAAAAGCAATCCCGACTCTTACAGATCCTCTCACCTCTTGAGAGTACATCCAAGCACCTTGATCAGCAAAGACACATCTGCTAAAAGCTCACACAAATCCACACATGTTGTTATGATTCTTTGGATGATCAAGATGTCATACACTCTTGGTAAGCCTTCACTTACAAGCTCAAAATATTCTTAGTTTTATTAAAATCTTTACTAAGATATAGATTTATCCCAATCTTTTGTAGAGCGGCTTGCAGCAGGAAGAAACCACCTCTTCAAAAACATTTAGATCACACTATCTGACAACCATTCCTCTGCCCTTACTTCCACTAACAATTGCTGATACTAATGAAGTGTTCAAAATGATAGTAGTCATGCATTTCCATAGCACACTACTAAAAGCAAGATCAAAATCTCCACATTCGAATCCACAATGTCAGAAATGCCTCTTCTGATATAATGCTTGAGCATCCATCTTCATAAGCATAATCTCAAGCATCTCCCATAGACTATGATGTCCCAAAATTTGCTTCCTATCATAGAACTCAAACACCATTCAAAGGACTCATTACGCATAGAAGTCTTTCAAGAAGCCTCTAATAGAACATAACCAGTGCAACATACTCATGTTATCATAAACACATGGATATCGTGGAGATAAATACTCTCACACACTCTCTAAAGCAAAGAGTTTAGATTGCAGACTTACATACACCAATCAGACAAATACTCAGCTCCCATCAAAGTATATACCCTCAGTCACATGCATATCTTCACCAGAACAGACTAATACCCAGCTCCCGACAAGGTATTTGTCATCAGAGGAAAATTTCCTCACAAATAAACATCAGACAATTATGTCCTCTTCACAAATGGAAGAACATTTGGTCTGACATCCTTCTTCTGAACACATCTGGATCCATAGGATTCTTCTTCATGACAAACAGTCATGACAACCATTCACACAATTTCAGATTAGGTCAGAGGCTTGACCTTACACTCCAACATGAGCTCCAAAAAAACTTCCTTGGTTGAAGAAACAAGGAAGTGAAATAATGTTCCAACATCAGTTCAGACATTAGCCTAAAACACATGGACTTAACCATTAACTATGGCTTTGAAGACAACACCCATAGTAGTCCAAATACAGCTCTTGCAAGGGAAACTAGAGGATCAACCATCAGTATCTGATCAACCTTCAAGACCAGATCATAACCACATGCATACATGCAGAAACCTGCATATTATACATCTCAAGGATCTTCTTCCAATGTCCAGGCCTCCTGCCTGACTTTGAGATGTTGGATGGCATCCTTTTGTACCTATATAGGAGATTCCCTCTAACAGGTATCTGGAGTAGACTTCAATAAACATGGCATTGAATGATCATCATACCACAAATAGATTGTTCAGAATAAGTCTGATGCTCCCAATCTTACAAAACACAAGGATGCTCTTCAATCCTTGCAAAAACAAATGTTCCATCATGTGAGGCCACCATATAACTGAACCCATGCTTGAGGAGAAACTTACCAAACAGTAAGAACCATGATCCTTTTCTTCCAAAACAAACTCCTACTCCTTACTCCAGACAAAAATCTGAAATGCTCATCCTAGGTGATTCATATGACACTTTAATTGTGCAGACACCAATCAACCACTTAACTCAGGTTGACACAACTCCAATTCAGACAATCCCTTGAATGTATCTTCTACTACAGAACAAGAGCTCCATGCTCTTATAGACTTGATAAGAATATCAAGTTTGAGTAAACAACCTCCATCTTGTTAAAGAAACACCATATGCCAAACATATTGAGAAAGATAAATTCTCAACCCATACATGTCAAGACATTAAATCTGACATTTCTTCAAGGTACTTCCAGATTATGGACTCCACCTCAACAACCTCTAAGAACATATTAGAGAATCATATATTCTACCTCTCAATAACAGCACAACCTGCAGTTGGTACATTCCCATAGTACCTCTCACAAAGAATTTGTCTCCTTTGTTCAGAAGGACTTCCAGATGACAGAGGGAATGTCCTGGACATTTTTGCTCATCCTCCATAAAGACTCTGGCAGGGATGTCTTTAACACACCTCCACAGGAAAACAAAGCACAACCTTCACACTCCAACTCACTTGGATCAGAAATGAACCAATCCAATGAGTGACAACTTGTTGGTCATCTCTTAACCAACTAAAATAACACCCCATATGCCTCATCTTCTAGACCAAGAGTAGGTTCCAAACATATGTGATCAACACATATTTGTTTAGCACCCAAAGCATCTGCTAAGACAATCCTTTGTCCAACAGGATTCTACTCAAGTTGCTGATGAGATGTTCTAACAGCTGGTAGAACATCTTTCCTATACCCAATCAACACATTGTTGAGATTGGTTCTGAAGCCCTTATTTCTCCCCAAAAATCAGAATATACCTTGATCACCTTCAAGGTCTTTAATATACTTACATCTTTCATACCATCATTAGCAAAAAACAGGGCCAGGACCATTTTCCTAATCTAGCCACAAACTAGGAAGATCCCTTTGGAAGTAACCATAAACAAGAGCTTTTGCCACCTTCAAATTTTTTTTCATCAACCACATATAAAAGTGCCTTTATGAGTGGACTTGAGATAAACATCAAGTATCTTTGGAAACTTTAGAAAGCTGGTTGAAACTATCCTCCTAGTATCACCACACCATGGGATACACCTTTAGAGAGGAATAGATGGCTACAGCCTCGACACTAGAGACTCACACCACCACCTGGAGTTTTTCATCAGATACATAAGCAGCAGAAAAACAAACAAGAAAACTCCTCAGTAAACTTCAGGAAAAACTTAATAACCCTTGCACAAACATACCACACTCTAGGTGTAACAAGTCAACATAGGTTTGAAAATAAATAAAACCCCAAAGCAGCTCACCTCCAAAGCTACAGGCCTGATAACAACAGACATGTCCAATACACACCCTGTCATGAACAGTCCATCCTCCACTTCTAGGGATCGTTCAAACCATAATATAAACTTATCCAAGTTCAAATAGCTTTTCAGTAATAACCTCCTTCCTTGCCCATGACCATAAAGTATCATCCCATGATCTCACTCAAACAAAACAAGATGCCTGCTCTAATACCAATTGAAATTCTGATATAACAAAATTCAGATATTATGTGACATGTTGGGACATATGATCTGACTTAAACAACATGGCAAGGTTTAAACATATAAAATAGTACTGAAAAGCACAAATAACACACATGTATTGTTAACCCAGTTCGAAGCAACTCTCCTACTCTGGGGGCATACCAAGCCAGGGACAAGTCCACTATAATAGTATCAACTCGAAGCTAAACTCCCCCGTTTACAACTTCTCTTTTAATCAATACCCTTGCTATACTTATATCTAAGACTCACATAGATATGAGGCCCTCCTCAATACCTCATCAATCACAGACAACAGATTGGACAAACAGGAAGACACACTTCCATGACGACAAACAAGAAGACTCACTTCCATGACAAGAACAAAAGACTCACTTCCATGACAATACTCATCAAGACACTTGACAAGAATATAACTTGGAAGTTACTTAAAAGCTTCCTCCAAGAACAATACTCACTCTTGCTTCACAACTTCGAGGAGAACAATAATCAACTCTGAAATACCCCATGCACTCAATTATGGGTTTTTGTTATTCATGTAATTATTAAAATAACAACTTAGTGATATTTCCGAAGATTCATCTCTGAAAATGTCCAGTGAGAAAGTTGATAAAACAACACCTTGCATGATCTTGTTTTTCATGCTAAAATGGAAACTCCGTTGCAAAACTCTTGAAAAACTTTTGCCCTTTCTCAATCAACTTTTCCACACCAAAACATAATTCTTTTATTTCATCACCTCAAAGGGAGCAAAACAAGTTATAATTACAGGTATAAATCATTTATTCCATCCCTAATTCCTTGCATTAATCCAAGTTTGAAGCTAAAAGTGAACGTTGAGTCCGGAGATTCATCTCTGAACAAAGTTTAGTATGGTCTAGATGTGCATCAAAGTCTCCTGATAGTTTGAATTTTAACACTATATTTCTGTTATTGGTGGTAATAGATATGTGCACATGGATATGTTTCCCAAAGCTATTGTGAGTGTGAATGTTATATCGGTCAAAGTGAAGCACGATGTTAAACCAGATGAAGTGAATGATAATGTTTAAATGAATGAAGTGAATGATAATGTTAAACCAAGTGCTCAACCAGTCATTGTAAAGGTAGATGTCCATGCATAATTTACAAACTAAGAGTGTATAAAGTCTGTGAACATATGCTAGGGAGACCGGAAAATTGATGTTTGGCGTTCTAATATGAAGGTCCTACAATGATTCGGATATAAGACAAACATTTGTAAAAATGGTATACGAAATAAGTGGAACATACCAACCAAATATTAGGAAGTTGAAACAAGATGACAGAAGATCGAGAAAATGTGAGTGTCTGTTTAAATTATGCGGATACAATATGGCGGATGAGACATGAAATTTAATGTGATTTCCAGCATACATAATCATGATTGGGATGATAAGCAAGTCGATCATCCCATTGTATGTCTCCATTTTCTAGAGGAGAGGGAACTTATTTTGGACTTGACATTAAACATGGTGGCGCTGAAAAATATACTCCCCACTTTGAAACGTAAAGACCTCTAAATGTTTCAAATATTAAGAAAATATACAATGTGCGTGCTCGAGACAACAAGGAGGTAACTCTTTGAGCTTTTGGAAAGGTATTTTGTTACAGGCATGATCATGTATGTAAGGTCCTTATTGCTCTACAACTTCTATAAATAGGGCCTCTCAATCCATTTTCTTTACACAAACCAGAATGACTACAAATCCATATCTTACATTTGTATATTTCAATGGCACAAAACTCCCCCACTTCAATTTCAGATATATGAGGACATACTTATTTTCGATCCGAAAACCATATTGAATACTCTCCTGCAATATCCAGAAAATCGGAGAGTTATTAAACTCGAATATCATTCATCCTCAATAGACAATGAATGGAATATACAGTACATAATGCTTGAACTGAAGACGGATGATAATTTGAAGGTGATATGGAGTACTTTTACCGTTACTCAACAAAGGTTCTAATTGAAGTGGATGTAATGATTCAAATATCAGTCGAAGATATTATAAGAATGTTGCAACATCCAGAATCAACTATTTTTAATAACATGTAATGTTAAATTTATGTAATGTTTATTTTAGATTTAATTTATATTGGTTTCATTTTGTCGTTGTTGTTTCTTCCTATTTCTGCTTTGATCTAACATAGCATATTTCAGATATGCATCTCCAGAAATTTCATTGACTAATGAACCAACATGTATTACGGAGATGCATCTCTGGATCAACTTTTCATGCTTACGGAGATGCATCTCCATATCACTTTTTTACAGAATAAAAGTTTCTCACCAGTTTTTCCTTGGTTGTGTGTGGAAAATATGTGTTCGGAGATGGAGATATTATAGTCTTTTCACGGTGGTGTGGAAGAATCCATAAGAGCGAAAAGAATAATTGCAAAAAAAAAAACATATGAGCTCATACAGTAAGAATATCCTACAAATTTATGTCTACATGTGATTGACATATGAATTAGAGAGTTAGTCAATTATTGAAAAAATTTATCAACCAAAATCACATTCAAGCTAAAATAAATAAATAAAACACTAAACTATGTGTAGATAAACAAAGACGGGATAGATTTACTCCCATAAAATTAATTTTAAGTGAAATCTCAACCCTTCTTCATTTCAAAAGCATGCAATTAAACAATTGAAAAAATAAATGGAGGGTGGGGATTTTTATTGCACTCCATCTCCTAAAAATTTCACCAAAGACAATCCATCCCGACAAAGACCTATATAAGAAAAAAGTAAATAGTATTATCGTAAATTGTGTATAAAAATAACATTTCAAGATCATTGTTGAGTTCCACAAAGGACTTTGTGGTTCCCACAAGGTCGATTCTATGATAAATTAGTTCATTTTACTTCATAAATATTGTTGGTTTATTATAACAACTAGTTGGTTTCAACAAGGTTAGTGTATGTTTGATTCCATTTCTATAAGATTCAGAATCAATTCTAGAGATATATAATTGATTCTAGGTGGTTTTAAAGTGTTTGGTTTGTAAGAGTAGAATTAATTATATCTCTAGAATTGATTCTACTTGAAGCTGGAATTTGTAGCTTCTACCTTTAGAATTGATACTGGATAATTTTTATATTGAAATTTATTGTTCAACTCACTTTTATATAAATGTATCCAAACATAAATCAATTATACTATACACAATTCTGTTAAAATCAATTTTACCAAACTCAATTCTACTAGAATCAATTCTGTCCACCACCAATTCAAACATACACTAAGGGATTAGAAGCATGACAACTGCATGGCTCAATACAAAAAGCATTTGTCAAATCACTGCCTTTGGTAATCAAACTTTGGTCCTTTAGATGATATTTCATAAATCTGAATGGAACTATTTATTCTGACTTCTATAAAAAAACACTTATATCATAGTGATTACGGACTACATAATTAAAAAATAAATCTCAATTGATGATCAATGTAGAAGAATATGATATCATCAATTTCATCCAACACCATATCTTTAATATGTAAGGCTAGGGGTGACAAACGAGCATGCCCGTTCCGTTTAGGCCCGCTCCATAGAAGTCCGCAAAAAAATAGGCCGGAGCGGGTATAGTTGAGGATGAGAGGCTAAAACCTAAGTCCTCCCTGCAAAAAAGTGTGTGGAATAGGGAAAGTTCGCGAGTACGGTACCTTTTAAGTCTAAAAATATAAAATTTTATGTTAGTTGCTCATGCCCGCAAAAGCTCGCAAAAAAATAGGACTGAGCGGAACGGTCACGTTATAGAGTGTGAGCCTAAAGTCTTGGCCCGCCTCACACTAAAGTACGGGCAAAACAGATATGCCCAACAGATCAGACCTATTTTACCATCCCTACGTATGGCGTCCTCAACCATTATAATTGATCAATGGACAACATTCATTAATGAAAAAGTGATGGCCTTTTTCCAAAAGTTTGAAATAAACAAATTCATTCATTGTCTTGTTATGCTTAAGATAACATGCTAGTTGAGGCTATCAATATAGTTTACCTTTGATATGTTCAAGAAGAATATTAAAGAGAAACCTTGAAATGAATGGAACTTTACAAGAAAATTAAAAATATGATATTCTCTTTCATCATTATTATAAATATAGATTCTCTTTTTAAATTTATTAAATTGTTGATGTATTTGGTCTACCTAACAATTAAATTCATACATTATTTAATAAATTTAAAAATAAATTTTTTGTTTATAATAACGACAGAAGAAAATATAATAAAAATGTGATATGATTAAAAATATGAATAACAATAAGATATAATAATAATATATCTAATCGTGTTTGATGCACACATGATAACCACAACATTATTATTTTATCATTTCTTTTTTATTTGGCACACACACATAATACTTGATAAGTTATATGCTAAACTCAAATTACAAAATCAATCTTGTGCAAAAATTACCTATATTATTTTAATTAGTTTTTGATATAGAGGGGTGATATGATATGTTTCATAATTAACTTATCATATTGAAATATTAAGATTGAACATGATGCAATTGTCATATTTAATCTCTTATCTTGCCCACCAAATAAATCCTAAATCGACTGCCACAAACTTCATTGCATATAAGTTCATTTATGGTCAAAATGCATTGTTACCTTTAAAAATTAGTGTAGCTTCACTTCTAATAGATAAAAAGAATCAACTTAATATGGATGAATATCACGAAGCCGTGTTAATAGAAATGAGCTCTTTAGACGAAGATCGACTAATGGTTTTTACTATAATTGAGAGTTCTAAACATAAGATGGCTAGTTCCTATAATAAACATGTCAAACTCAAATGAAAATGCAAATTTTATATTGCTTTACAAATTTATCACACTAAATCATTACAATTTAACTTAGAACAAGAAGAAACAGAGAGAAAAAAACAAGAATTTGAGCTAAATGATTAATTATTTATAAACTGAAATACAAATGACAATTTTAATGGCGAGGCTCTAATTAATAAAGGATGCCAGATATGGATCGGTGCGATATGGAAGACCACTCCTAGCTCCAAGAGCTCTACATTTAGCAGCTGCCTGTAAAACATTCATATATAGCATTTAACAAAAACATATTTATAACAATCTTGGTAGTTACTTGCATCTTAAGCTACCTACCACACGAGAAGCAAATGGCAACATTTTCTCTGGCGAGAAGTTGGCACAGATAGCTGCAAATAATTGGTGAACTGGTCAAAATTTAGAAGAAGAAAATGAATGTGTCGCACGTTTAATGCATGGAGCGTAAAGAGATTGAACATACCATATAAAACAGCTCCAACAAATGCATCCCCAGCACCAGTTGTATCGATAAGTTCTGATGGTGGAATCTTTTCAGATGTCCCAAAATATAACCTCCCGCATACAGATCCTATCCCTTCTGCTCTAAATTTTGTAACATTCTGGGAGGATTAAGCGAAATAAAATCAATCTATGTAGAATTTAACAAGATAACGTTATGGAATTTAGAGTTCTAGAGTTATTACTGAGGCAATGCAGGTTGGAGTAGCTATGCTATCGTCTTTTCTCGTTGTTAATGATTTCAAAGAGTTGTCTATATCTACTTCTTGTAATTGAGAATCTTCTGCTAGAAAGTAAATTGAAACTTGCATTGTATAAGGAAATTAATCGAACGAAAAAAGAAATTAGTTATATTTAGTACCATCTGCGCATTTCTGAAGCATTATGCAGCCATCTTTTCCCAAAGTTGCAATCACAAATTTGAGTCTCGGAAGCTTTAAAATGATTGAAACTAGTGCTCTTGGTATAGACGATGCCTCTGTCCATGCCTATCAAATGCGTCGAAAAGAACTACTTCAGAAATGCTCTCAAAATTAATTTATGTTATTTTCTTACTAATTCTAATTTATGATGAGTTAGTTACTTGCCTGAGGAAAATTTTGTGAGCATACAACATAATCAGCCAAGTCCAAGAGGTCATTTAATCCTTCCCTTGGCCTTTCGGCATCAACTAAGATAGATATATTCTGCCGAAACGCCTGCAAAAGCGAAATATAGCTATTTTGGTTAATCGAACAAAATGACAACTTAATCAGAAACCTATTGAGAAAAATAGTACTAATTATAGATGTCGCGGAAAAATGGATTGATCCAAGTATAATGAGAATAATGATAATACCATATGAAATTTTTGCATGACTCAAGTTATGTTAGAACCAATATGTAATTACCTCTTGAGCAATGACAAGAGCAGTTGCGGGCATTCTAACATCAAAATAGGCCAATCTAGCTCCATTCAATGCAGATAACAATCTCGTTCGCGAAAGGTCTTCTGGTACCAATGGAGGATATCCTTCGGTGAATATACAAGTGCGTGTTTTTCTGAACAATTAATTAATGCCTTTAATAAATTCGGGTAGAATACTAATCAGCTGAGAATATCTACTAAGTATGTCATACTAAAGACTATGTATACTTACGTATTGTTGTCAATAATAATGTAGCTAAATGGTGTAGTCCCTTCCTTTGAGACCTGAAACAAATGGAAAAAGAAAGAAAACATCAATGTAAGATAACCCTGATATTTGTAAAATGGATTGTGTATGTTCTGCTTTACTCGAACAAATTAGTTAAAGTTTAATGTATAACTTTTGACAACCAAAAAATAACAATTATGAAAGTTCAAACTTAGTAAGAGGGAACATGCGCCTCTACACATGATGCATCTGCACAGCTACCAATTGAGTTGGTTTAACGGGACCAAGGTAAGTAAGTTAAGTTATAAATTCGCTATTCCAAACGCACTCTAAGCAATTATTGAAATAAATTTCAAATGCATGTTATAAGTTATTTTACTAGTGAAGTCAAATGCAAATATAAATGCTAATTTCATGAGATGGGCTTAATAAAACTCTTTCAAATACACAAGTTGGATAAGATATTATATAGATCATGCTTAACATATTTTAACACACCAATTTTCAAAGTCTTGATAAATTTGTTAAAGTCTTATAAAAAGTGAGAGAGACTTGGCATACCACAAAAGAAGAAGTGTCCACACCCTCAGCTTCTAGCTCCTCCATCAAAGCCCTGCCTTGAGCATCATTTGCAACCTAGTAATTACTCCAAATTATTATCACTTACCATAAGGTTAATTATTGAGTATAGTGTGATTAAAATAATGGCAAAAATAAACCTTAGAAATGACCCTAGGCTTTAAGCCCAAACGAGCAGCACAAGTCAAAGCATTTCCGGTATTTCCACCACCTTGCACCTATTGAATCAAAATAACTTTTTTTAGTCGGTAGACAAATAGATGAAATAGTAATAACCACTAGTAACGCACACCGGATTTGAACTCTGGCTATGGTGTACACACTAACAATATTGGATTTTGTCAACGAGCTAGGATTTGTGGAGTGCATGTATAATAATTTTAAACAAAAATAAATAGAAATGTTCAACAAAAGGTGATTTGAAAAAATTTAAAATTGGTTGGTCCATTGTTGCTGCAGCGGTTGTGTATAAGTTTGAATGCAATTTTCAAACCATTCTGTTTTTGACTTTGCCCTCTCTCTATTGTTGTACTAAAAAAATGTGTGGTTAGTTGAGAGAGAGTTTTGGTAAGGATAAAGTCATGGATGGACCCACAAAGTGACAAACATGACTCTCACGGAGATTTCAATTAATAATTTCTTACCTGTTATCAAACTTCATAAATATTCATTACAAATAGATTAATGGAAATAAAAATAAAAAATTCTCTTATGAAGGTTGGTGAAAAATGAGCTAAGAATAAGATAATGCAATTATATAATCAATAATTCAAATAATAATAATAATAATAATAATAATAATAATAATAATAATAATAATAATAATAATAATAATAATAATAATAATAAATCTTGTATTTATGATTTTTGTGAAAGACAAAAATCAAATACAGATAGTTGTGTCGTGACATCATATACTCTATGAAGTTGACATCCCACTTATTCAAATCTAGGAAAAAAACCGAAAACAAAAGGATGAAGAAAAAAGAACCTTGAGTTGAGTGGTTCGGTTCTTGGTGTCTGGTTTTGGAAACGATTCAACAGTTGCTAAAAGATCAACGCCAACTCCACCGAACCCAACCTACAGAAACCAAATAATTTGATTCAATTATTGAATGAAAAAACAAAAACAGTAATAAGACACTTACAATGACAGGGTTTTGAGGTAGAGGAGAATCCGAAGACATTGAAAAAGGTTTCAGAGGTCTTGTTTTTGCTGCTGCTGCCAAGGAAACTGAAATATAATATTTAGTCATAAAAAAAAGTGATAAACCAATTATATATATATAGTAGCATGCTACCAACTAACTAACCTGGAAGATGTTGTGAATAAATATTATTATTTCGACGAAGAAATCAATGGGAGAAGAAGCTTGTGTTGTGTTGTTTCTGTTATGTCACTGGTCAACGAGAAATTGAAGGTTAATTGCCCTTCGGATACGCGGAGGGAGAAAGCCATTTTGTCTGAATGAAATGTGTTAAGTTAAGTTTGAGTTATTATTGGCTTTGGATTTGACCCTACACATCACCTCTGGATAATGATTGATCAAAAAGTGTGAGGTAGTACTTTCAAAATTGTGAAAAAAGTTTGCAATTTTAATAATTAAGAGGGGAGTTAATGTGAAGGTCCATAGCTTAACAAAGTAATCCATATTGAATATGTTTATCTCATAAATTTTAATATTATTAAAATTGTGTTCTAATTTATTAAGTGTTGTGAATTTGAATTCGCGCTCTTTTAATCGGATGTCCTTGCACATCTATGTATTGAATCATGTAATTGTTAAAAGTTTAAATGTGTAACAATCTATAGTAACTAAGAGTATCAGAGATTTTAAGATTGTTATGGTATTGAGTGTTAGTTCACGTGAGGTGAGGAACTATTGTATGTGTGTAGTTTCTTTGTGTTGTGATTAATACTTAAGTATGAACTGATGTATTTATAATCTCAAGGGTCTGGAATCGAGTCTTCCTAAATGTAGCAACCACTCTTGGAATGGGTGGTTGGTTCCCTGAAATTTAAGAAGTGTAGTTAAATTCCACGACTTTCTATGCAACTTTTGTTGACCTAATACATATTTTCCGCACGATCAAGTGTTACGAACGAAGACATTAGAGGTCTGAACGACGTATCCTAAAAAGAGGTGTCTTATCATATAGGGTGTGTTCGAACCAATATAATGACAAACTATAAGGCTGACCAAAGTTTTATGTTCGTCATTTCCCGTCCTATTTTTTTTTGCAAGATTTTGTGGGGAAGACATGTCAGTTTGCCACCCCTACCCATGAATGCAGTATTGTTATCAATGGAATCTCCTAGACTCAAAATTATCACTAAGCACTCTGAGATTTGCAAGGAAATAAATAGTTGTCAAATGAAAGCACCACTAGGTCTACTACTCTAGTATGAGACAAGGCGTCACTTATCTCGTCACCACTAAGTATATTTATGAAATTTGTGGGTCCATCTCCTAAGTTGGCATATCTTAGAGGAAAGAGTAGGAGCAACAAGAATAAACAAATAGGGATAGAAGCGGTACCTAAAAAAACTAGAGATATGAAGTTATTACAATGAAAGAGAGAGATATCGTTTGGACAAATAAAGTAACCAAAAAGGAGAAACCACCTTTATAAAGTGGAAGAATGTAGACAGATATATGACTCATATTGAATGAAAGCTAGGTAGAAGAAATTAACAAACATATTTACCTCAAAATCATAACAACACTCGAATACACTTGAGCACCCTAAATGACAACGTCACACCCTACCCTAGGGACCTAGAGTCACTTGTAAATGTAATACTACAAAATGTTTCAATAACAAAACTAACATTTAATGTGCATATACCCAAGGTCACCTGCTCCCACTCGCTAGTCCTTCCACTTTTGTGAACCACGAGCCCGCCGAGAAAGCCAACTCGTTGGGTAATGAAACGTTCCCATTATTGTACAATAGTGAAGCCTGGGGGATTACTCCTAGGAGGACAAAGCCCCAAACGACAAGAAATCCCAATCACATGGATGTCCCTCCAAAAAGATACGTCCAGGAGACAACTGAGGATCAGGTGCACCAGTGCTAAGGAATCCAACACCTAATTCATATGACTTAAGGATCATCATGTTGACTTAATATGGACATAAAATGGTATAAAATGGGAGGTTAAATAGACCTTTATTCAACCAACCATTTTTAAAAAGGGTTTTCAAAAATAGAGTTTAAAATGTGCGGGGATGAAAGTTTTAAAAATGCATTTGAGAAGAAATTATGTGTTTGACTTAATGAATAGAAAATACAATGATACTAAGATGATGAGCTTGCTAACAAACAATATGCTAACTAATTAAATTTGATTCACAGAGAAATGTTTGAACATGATTTTATTAATCGAATTAATAATCTAATATTATAAGTTTGTGTTGGTATAATCACCAAAAATAATGTTTACTCACTAGATCTATCACATACCTATACTTAAACGTCAAATCGTTATAGGCAACAAAACCTAACAACTTGCAATTATAGAAAGCAATTAGAACTTAAATACGTGCAAATCTATACATAAATTAAAAGAGAGGGATAGAGAAAATGCACATTGAAATTTATATTGGGTTGGTGTGTTGTCCTGACTTTCACCTAATATATAATTCAATGACAAACCATTGAAAATTATTGAGTCTTTCACTAATTCATAAATTATTACAAGTATATTTTGATACAACAAATAATCATTGACAAACTGAAAACTTAAAACCGAGGCACTCCAAAATTTTGTCTGCTACAATTCTGAACCAACCACCTTTTTAGAATCAAAGCACTCCAAAATTTTGTCTACTACAATCTTCACTCGGTCTTATCAAAATTCCATTGTCTGAGTTTTTGAGTTGTTGAAGGAGCTAAAAACTCTAAGATTTTGTTTACAACAATCTTCACTCGATCCTGCTAAAATTCCCTTGGAGAAGAAATTATTTTTCTTCATTGAATATAAATCTCCATAATTCACAATCACAATCTTATTTTTCATCTAAAAATCAAAACAATCTTCATAAAAACATTAGAAGACCTGTTGTACCACACAACTACCACTCACACTCACTCATAGAGTTAAGTAGCAACGAAAATGGTATTTTTTAGTTAAAGATTGAAGATGATGATTTTCAAAAAAATCTAACAAAACATGTTCACACTTAAGAAATGAACTAAAAAAATTCCTTCAAGGAAAATTTTTGTGATTCACAAAACACTCTTGCTTTTTTAAAGATTGTGAAAATTACGATCATCTATTGAGAGAGAGAGAGAGAGAGAGAGAGAGAGAGAGAGAGAGAGAGAGAGAGAGAGAGAGAGAGAGAGAGAGAGAGAGAGAGAGAGAGAGAGAGAGAGAGAGAGAGAGAGAGAGAGAGAGAGAGAGAATAAATTGATTTATATATGCTCTAGAGATAAGACACAAAATAGATGAAAACTCAACAATTTAATTTGAGTCAAAAGTTAAAATGATAATTTGAATAAAGTGAAAGAGTGATTTGAATCAAGATGATAAAATTAGAATTTTACTTATTTGATTCAAGTCATGACTTGAATCATGTGATTCGAGTCAAGTCAATTCACTTGAATCGCATATCCTGATTAAAATTCCAAAACTGAGAATTCATTCATGATTCGAGTCAAACAAAGCTATGATTCGAGTTAAGGTGTCTTTTAATTCGTGTCTGGCAAAACCTTGAATCAGATCAAGACTTTTAGCATCAAAGTCCACATTTGTGTCTTACTTATAATTCAAGTCAGGCAAAGTTGTGGCTCGAGTCATGTTTATATAAAGATCTTGTTTCAAGTCTCTAAATGTGATTCAAGCAACAAAACATTGACTTTTGACAAATGCTCAATTTTGAAAAGCAATGTAAATGATTTCAACCTAAGAGAGAATAAGAGACAATTGTGAGGAACACAAAATGAGATAAAATGATACTATCTAAAAAATGCAACAAAATATCAAAATAGATAAAGTAATGCATTTAACGATAGAGCAATTTCACACCCACCTTTAAATCTAATTAGATTGTTTTCCGCATCTCACGTCGAGAAATGGTTCTAACCGTAATTGTCTTTCATATATGTATTAGCCATTACTCACATCATAATTTTTCCTACATCTCACTAACTTGAGCATTTCAATATTAGTCTTATAGATCTGCATCATTCTAGTGTGTCGAAAAGCTCGTGTAACTGCTTCCGTCGATTTCACGTCTTCAAATATATCATTTTTTATTCCAATTCAGAACTTTTACTAGCCTAACATATTAATATTATAACATTGTTATAATTTGTTAAAATCCTTTTCAATTAATGTAATAGTTTTACTTTATAATTTGATTTAAATCTGAAATGTAATCGAATTTTTTAAGAGTTAATATATTATACTCTTTAAAACAAGCATATAAAAATTTCAATTTGATAAAAAAAATTATTTAAAGACTAATTAATTAAAGAGTTAAATATATTTTTATCCTTATAAATATATCAAATTTTATTTTTAATTCCTATTAAAAAAATAATAAATTTTGGTCCCTAAAAAATTTTTGTTCATCCAGATTTAGTCCCTGCTATTTTCTAAAATTTTAAAAACTGCTTAATTATCCTTAAAATTTTAAATTTTTTAATAATGTTTTTCATATGTGTTTAGAATACTATAAAATGTTTCTTTATCAAATTTTAGATTTTTTTAATATGAGAAGAATTAAATATGATTTTTTTAATTTCAATAAATATTGATAAAAATAATGAAAATCTCGACTGAGAAATCAAATTTTTAATTTCTTTTTTTCCAAGGAATCTTTTATAATGTTATAAACATGTCTTCAAAATAATTATTCAAAAATACACGTTGGTTTAACAATAAAGACTAAAACTATGTGAATGATAATTTTGTAGGGACTAAAATATGTCATTATTTTAATAAAGATTAAAAATGAAATTTGAGATATTTATAGGGACCAAAAACATATTTAACCTTTAATTAAAAAAAAAAAGTCGGTTACATAAGAAAGATTTAGGGGATAAACACTCTAGTAATTTGATAACTTTATAATTTATTTAGATGAAGCATTTTAATGAAAAAATATAATACTTTGAGAAAAATTTAAAATTTTGTAAACAAAATTTATTGTGAATAAAAAAATAAAATGAATTGTTA